CTGCACGACCTGTTGATGTTCAGAGATTATACAATCTGAATCAGAATCAGAAATCAGAAACAGGTTTATTGCCAGGTAGGTTCACACATACGAGGAATTTGACTTGATGTCATGGTGCATACATAAAATATAAAACAAGAAATCTAATATAAAACAAAAAATCTTTAAGGACACCATAATACAATATAGTTAAATAGCAATAAAATAAAGCAGTAATTTACATGGAAATAGAATGCTATGAATGAATTATAGGATATCAAATTGTGAGATAGAGTTGAACTGTTATGGCGTCATACAGTGGTGCAGTGACGAGTCCTAAAACCTGGAAGTGAGTTAGCATTTCACCACTTCCGCTTCCCTCGTCTGAGAGCCAATGGGATTTCTCCATATAAGGTCTGTGGTTTAAGAGACGGATCACGTTTTGTTCTACGACATTAAATCCATCAGCAGTGACCCCACTGGGGATTTTTTAAGAGTTTAGGTGTCTGAAAAACGATGGTTGTTACCAAGTGGCTGAATAGGACTACAGAAGTTGTTGAGGCCGTTGTACGTCATTACGCCGAACACGTAAACACTCCCGCTAAGTTTGTTTGCCCTGTTCTGCTTGAAAGCAAGTACCTGCGCTCTTGCAAACTGTTCAAACAAACACTTCAACTTGTACCATTTAGAATCTGTATTTTTGAATATGGATCTTAAGTTGGCGTGATGGTGAAGTCGTGCGACCCTGCTGTAGTTCCTTTAGAGCATAATGTTAGCATTTTGCTTCTGGCCATTAGATTTATGATTTGAAAAGTATAAAAGTAGGGTCGACATGTGGATATTATCCGGCTGAACAAAACGTGCATTTATCAAACAGATTCGTTTTCCACAGACCTTATTTCCAGCTATTTTCCAAAAGCCTATGGAGAAATCCCATTGCTTTTTTGTCATGGGAATCCATGCGCAGCTTACTTCCGGGTCGGCCAAAATAATACGTCATCCCTGCACCACTCTATTAGGAGCTACAATAAGCATGATAATAATGAACATTAGCCACCTTTAGTTTAGTGGTGGTGACACACCTGGAGATTATCATGCTGAACAAGTCCTGCAAGTGTCATAAATGTGTGTTTGCCACAGATATAATTTTTCTGCAATTTTCCGAAGTCCAATCGAAAAATACCATTTATTTTTGTGTATGTACCCCATGCAATGCTAACTTCCTGTTAGCTAACATCCTGGTCTACACATCTGTAATCACTGCACCACTCAATCGTAAGCTATCGTAGAAGCCTAGTGTTCGTTTTGAGAGCAATGTTAGAACTGAAGTTATATCATTGTGTGGTAGAAAATAAAAAACACCATCACTGCTGCTCTGGCTCTGATCTCACCTTGGAAGGTGCCATGCTGCGAGCTGCTGGGTGCGATGAAATTGAGTGGCACATGGGGCGTCCCACTGATGTACTCATGAGGGAAAGTTCCACTGGGGCCCTTGTAGCGTCGACACACCACCCGCTGGCAGACAAAATAGGCTCCCCCGATTACAAAGACCAGCAGGATGATGGCGATGACCGGGCCGATGGTGTTGGGCCCTGTGTTAGGGACGGAGGGAGGAGACACATACTCTACAGGGAGCAGAACCAAAGAGACAGAGTTAGGGACAGAAACAATACACAAGTGTTAACACTATAATACTTTGTATGAGTATGTTGATGTGTTTACCACAGGCGAGCTCGTCGGAGCCGTCGGGGCAGTCAGAGTAGTTGTCACACTGCTGCTTCTTCGTGATGCACTGGTTGTCTCCGCAGCGGAACTGGTTAGGAGGGCAGATGGCTGCAGGAGGAACACATCAGGAGATCTACGTCAGTTTTGACTCATGAAAAGGTCTTATACGGCAACGTGTTGGAGAAAAGCCTCCAGCTCCATTTCATCAACAGTTATATCATTAATCATTTATATATCCAGTAGGGCTGCAAGCTAATTTAAATGTTATCAGAATCGCAATATTTAATAATGCTATCTAAATCGCATTAAGTAATTTTTGGCAAATGTGAAAATATCTAAATAAAGTGTTCTGGAGCTGCAGGGAAGTCCTGTCTACAAACGGTATTCCACAGACTTCATAAAAAATCCTTGGTACAGATTAGGGCTGAACGATTAATCGATTTTAAATCGAAATCGCGATTTTAAATGATGCAGTTTTGTTCTTCTTGTGTGTCAGTCATCCACACCAATCAGAAGTGCTGTGCTCCACATGTACCAGTCATTGTTAACCAATCAGAAGTGGCCCATGATAGAAGGTGATAGACAGATAGATCCAATCACCTGCCAAGTATTTTTGAAATACTTTTCCAAATGGCTTCCAATGGAGCTCTCCTAGATGGTTTGGTGAAACAAACCATCTGAGTCAGGTTAGTAATGCTCCATCACATGTTTTACATCTATTACAGGGTGAATCTTAAACTGAAGCTTGACTTTAAAGCAACCCAACGGAAGTTTCATGTAAGTTTAGTTCTTTCACTTGTAGCTCGGGCTGCGGGGGTGCTAGAGACGGGAGTACGTTGATACGACCTTCCTAGCCGGAGTTATGGCCGCATTTTACAATAAACATCCGTTGGGTCGCTTAAAAACAAATATCGCAAATCGAATCGCAATATCTGTCAGAAAAATCGCAATTAGATTATTTCCCCAAATCGTGCAGCCCTAGTACCTTCCCCTTCAAAAAATGACACTTTTGAAGGGGAAGGTACTAGGGCTGCACGATTTGGGGAAATAATCTAATTGCGATTTTTCTGACAGATATTGCGATTCGATTTGCGANACAATGTAACGTTTTTTTTTTTTTTTTTAAAACAGAGCCTAAATATGACTGGATGTGGTGCATTTTTGCTAAATGTTTAGACAAATTGCTTGTGTGCCCTTACATACTCACTTGATGGAACCTTTTAAAAAGGGAGAAGCTTTTCTTAATTCTTTCATTGTACATGTATAATGACAATAAATAATTATATTCTATAGCAAAAAGCAATAAATGATTTCTCACTTTTGGCAAAGAGCATTGTCCACCTCAAGACGGGTAACATTTAACCACACCTCGGAGCGCTTCGTTCTCTCTCCACCGTGTGTGTGAGTGTGTGTGTGTTGCATCCATGTAGCAGCCGCGTGTGTAAAAACTGCCCCGCCCCCTCGCACACAGGCGGGGAGAGATCTCTCTCGTCTGGATTGGAAAGATCGAAAATACATCATAGACGCATTTTGTCTTATTGCATATTATAAACGGTGTTGGCGAAACTAAGACTGTAATATAATGTTAAAGTAGCAATAGTACATATGACATGTATTTTTTAAATGTCTCAAGTACCGATAAACAGACCGTCCTGCTAGAGACAGTACTTTCCTGGGGAGAAAAGGTTTGTGGGTGTGTCGGCCACATTAACAATTTCTGACTAACTTATGGCAACACAAAATAATACATGGGAGCGGTGGAGTGATGAGGAGGTGTTGGAGTTTCTGACGATTGTTGGAGCAAACACAGTGGTGGTGGCTTAAAGCCCACCTCCGCTCCGCGCCGTCCGTTAGATGAGCCTGGTCACATTAATAAGAGAAGGAGTTCAAAACACCGGCATAAAAGTTATAACAATAATCTGATTTTAATGGTAAAAAACTCCAATACAGTTTACAGAGTACTCTGGACTCCCAGTTCTACTGCCGTGCGATACAGATATCGGGACCAGCCAGTCAGAAACAGGGGGCATCGTGCATGAATAAACATCAGTATTCATAGACATATTTGGGGGCAGAGTTGTGTCGGCTGCTCCGCCCCCCCAAATCTCTAATTGGTTGATTTCACTCCTAAGCGAATCAGAGAGTCCGTGGGGAGGAGTTGTGTCGGCTGCTCACTCCCCTCGGTGTTCTTACTTGTTGGATTCACTTCTGGTCGGGTCCAATACAGCGAATCAGAGTTCTGGGAAAAAGTATTTTACTTCTGAACAGAGCGTGAGAGCTTCGGAANNNAGGGCACACAAGCAATTTGTCTAAACATTTAGCAAAAGTGCACCACATCCAGTCATGTTTTGACTCTATTTAAAAAAAAAAGACGTTACATTGTTTGTCACAAAGGAGTTTGTAGGATTATGAGTCATTGGCCTAACACAAGTTAGTAATCATTGGCAATCAATTACCTTTTTTCATTTACCATTATTATTAGTTTTAATTTCTGCTTATCTTTATTTTTATTGCAGGTTTTGCTATCTGATGTTGGTGTGATGGGGAACAGAACCTTACCCACAATACTCCATATTGATGAGGTAAGTTATATATTTCACATGGTGAATGTATGTTGAAATGCCTATTTACTGTACACATCGAGCTGATACAGAGCAACATGATCATACATTTGAAATGGTGTTTCTGTCCATCTGATAAGTTTAATATTCACTGTCTTTTAGCTCTGTTTATGCTTTCCACCAACTCCTTAGTAAAGTATTTGGCTCAATGTTCTGCTTTCTTCACCTGCTATTCTCTAACTGTCTGTTTGATTGTCTGAAGAAAACAGCTGCTGCTGGAATTGGGTTTTTCACTTTATACCTCAACATTTTACCCATTGTCAATTAAAAAAAGTATTAGCAAGGTTTAAACAACCATACAGCTTACAGGTCTAGTTCTGATTCCTTGCAATTACCTTAGATTAATAGAAATACTGGTTAGAACACACTGGACACCAATACACATCTTATCAAGGACTTGGTTAACCAGGAGGTCAAAATTAGAATCTATCCTTTAATTATATAGTAGATACAAAATATCATTACACCAATGTCTGAATGTGCCCTTTGTCTTCTGTCGTTTTATTTTTGCATAACAGATACATGCTGAATTCCAGCGCATAACAACTTTTCCACTAAATGTGTGTATACACTGTTTTATACACATTTTCATATACTCTGTGGAGCAATTTTATGAAATGTACCTGTCTAATACCGTATAGAGCCCCATTTGCCTCACAACAGCCTGGATTACTTGCCAAGTGCAAGAATGCAAGACACATTTCTAAGGAAATCGGATCTTAATAAGGCAATAGTGGCATACTGGTTAGAGAAGCACGCTTGTGACTGGAAAGGTGCAAATTCAATCCCCGGGTGGGGAAAGTGAAAAAGCAGAACCTGCCTTGAGCAAGTCACTTAATCCTCAGTGGCCAACAGATCAGACTGTGGTTGTACTAGGCAGATTCCAGGTGTGAACTGTGAAGAACAGAGCATTGCTCTTGGTGAAAAGTCCCTGGGTGAGTAGAATTTTTCAACACATTCAGACCTCTGACATTGTAATACATTTAAGTCACAATTCTTTAACATACTTTAGTTAGGGCAGTCTATTTACATGTATAATGAAGTCATTGTATATATTATATTGTATATTTAGGTTACTACAGGTTGTAAATCTTCTACAATTCATAGACAATTTTGTTATTATTGATGTATTTAGAAATATTTTAATAATTGTAATTTTTTTACACAGGCAACAAGTGATGTTAACCTTAAAAGGGAAGCAATCCTCAAGGCACTTTGCATCCACCTTGGTGAGGATGATGGACATCTCATTCGGGAGTATATGGTAAGTCACTGTAATTGCATTTGCCAGTCACATGTAGTGTTTTAAGATCCTAGTGTCAGACATACATTTTAGATAATTATGTTTTACCTTATAAGGAGCATGAAGAATGAGAATATCTATATGTATGAATTTTGATATTCATCAACAGACTAAAGCATTTAAAACCATCAGCTTTGTTCTTTATACGATGAGGTTGGCTTTATTCATTATTTTTCTTATTGTCCAATGAAAAGACCATAATCAACAATGTCTTAGTCCATCTGTCAATCCTCTCTGACTTCTGACACTCAGCAACAAGCTTATTGGTTCCTACGTAAATCTTTAAAAATACACCTAAACTTGATTTTAGTTCTGCTTTTGATGTCATTGACCATTCTTTGTTGTTACACAAGCTGGAACAATATGGTTTTAATTTTGGAAAACACTGGGGTGGTTAGAAAGTTACCTGACAAATCGAAGTCAAACTGATTTTTTTAATGGAAGTCTCTCAAATATGAAAACAGTCACTTGTGGAGCACCCCAGGGTAGTTGTTTGGGACCACTTTTACTTTCTATTTTTACAAATGACCTACCATTAGTGTTAGAAAAAGCTAAAATTGTAATGTATGCAGATGACTCAATATTATGCAGCATCAACTACAAGAGAGTTGACAAATGTTATGAATAAAGATCTACTACTGATATCAGAGTGGGTCATAAATAATAAGTTGGTACTTAATGCGGGAAAAACAATTTTTTTATTAATAGGATCAAATCATCAGTTAAAAGGTGAACCGAAATTGCAACTACATTTAAACCATATTCAAATTGAACAGGTCAAAGAGACAAAATTGCTAGGTATAACCCTGGATCATAAATTATCTTGGTCTAAACAAATTGATAATGTTGTATGTAAAATGGGAAGGGGTGTGTCACTTGTAAAAATAATTGTAAAATATTTGCCAATGGATGTCAGTAGACAAGTTTTGGATGCTTTGGTTCTGTCGCAGCTTGATTATTGTTTGGTTATATGGTCTAGTGCTGCTGAAAAATACTTAAACAAACTAAAAGTAGCACAAAATAAGGCAGCACGATGTGCACTGCAGTGCTCCTACAGAACCAGAGTAACTGGAATGCTGGAGACACTGAAATGGTTAAGCTGTCAGACAGAGGTCAAATTATATTTTGTTACATTTTGTCAGAAATATTACTCACTCACCAGATATATTATCACAAAGGTTTATAGCGCAATATGCACAACATAACTATCAAACACGACATACAATAGAAGGAAGGTTTGTATTACCCAAATCTAAATCAAATATGGGACAGAAAACAGTCATGTACAGAGCCATGGTCAGCTGGAACTCTTTACCGGTCCACATCATTCAGGAACCTTCTCAAGTACATTTCAAAAGGTTGCTAAAAAATTATTTATGTATTATAAAGTACATTTGAACTGTGCCTGTGGCTATGTATGCATATATTATTATGTACCTGAAATTAGTTTACCGAGGGTTGCAATTGCAATCATAAGTAATTTTTTTCAAAATCCTGCAGCCTTTGCTTAGTGATTGCTAACGGTGTCATATTAAAAACATGGATTGTACATTTTATTAACTATATTGTAATGTATAAACATGTACTTATAGTGCTCTCCCAAAAATGTATAACTGGACTTACTATAAACAAAAAGTAAACAGTACAAATAATATGCAGCTGTTTTTATAAAAGTAAGGAAACAAGTTGCACTAAAGGAGCATTTTTAGTATTGGGCCCAATTATTCTATGGTTATTATAAGAGTGTCTTAAGGAACACTTAAAAAAAAATGCTGATTCTAAACTTTATTTATATGTATTAGTGAAAAAAACACTTTATGGATGAACGATTACTGAGCTAACATTCTCAGTTCCAGTGTGTCCTGGTGTGAACCTACTCTCACAGTCGTGCTCATCAGAGTGGTCGGCACAGTCAGGTTCCCCGTTGCAGCGCCTCTGAGCGTCGATGCAGCCTCCTTTGTCACACTGGAACTGATGGGAGGAGCAGACGGGGCAGCTCTCCTCGTCGCTGCTGTCGTCACACTCTGAGAAGCCGTCGCAGCGCCAGGCCATGGGGATGCAGTCGATCTCTCCTGTGGAGCAGGTGAACTGCTCTGTGGAGCAGGTGGGGGGCTCTGACAGAGAGAGAGAGGGGACATATTATGAGGCTACAGAGATCCCTCTACAGTCAGACAGGCAGAGGGGACAGGAAGTAGTTTGGGTTGGGCCTTAAACAAACACTTCAGGAGATAGTGTCGGAAAGACTGGAAAAGTGCTATATAAATGAGGTCCATTTACAATTTACCACATAGTTGCTCATTACACAGGCTTTTATCCATCTCTGCTGTTTATTTTCATGTACACGAAGAGTATCTCCTTAATGAGGACATTATCCCCCTCCCGGACTGGACACTGGCGAGCCTTGGGACTTTATGTGTCAACATCAGAATGATTTCAGCACAAAGGAAAGAGAATGTGGAGCGACCCTGGTATGGACTGCACGATAATGCTGAGGGTGTCTTTGTGTCTCACCTCCACAGTGCAGCAGGTCCTGCAGTAACACCAGGTGCATGGGACAGGAGCAGCGGGGGGTGCCGTCTCCCTTAGCGATGCAGATGTGAGAACAGCCGCCGTTATCGCGAGAACATGGGTGGGATGCTGGAGAGAGGAAGAAGTCATTACAAACTTTCCTGCCAAAACACAACCTGAACAAAGCCCCACTAAAACAGTCAATCAATCAATTATTTTGTAAATGTGAGTAAGCGATGGGGGTCCGTACCAAACTCATGTGGGTCCATCTCCTCCACAGCATGGATGGAGGTCAGGTAGGAGATGCGGCCCTGAATGCGCGTGCGCCCTTCTCCGGTCAGTTTGTCCACCCTCTCGATCATCTGCTGCTGCCGGTCGATCCAGTACAGGTGGTCTCCCAGCACAGTAACCCCCGTCGGCTGCAGGATGTTGGAGTCCTGCAGGACGATGCGATTGGCTCCTGCAGTAGATGGAACGATGTCATTAGAATAAGAAAATAATTCCACCAATTCAATTAAATAAAAATAAAAAAGAATACTTCTGCTATTTGTTTTAAACTATACTAATATTATTGATAAGGATCTTTTAAATTATATATGTTTTTTTAATTATGATGAAGTTACGCACAAAGCGGATCATTTTGCGTATGAAAAAGAAACATGTCAGTGCCCTCTGACGATGGAGACCTATTTGTTTAAACAAATTAGATTAAATAAATCATAAAAACATTAAACAAGCGCAATGCAAAACAAACATTCTGTCATACTGTCTGGCAAAATAACTGAGAGTTTTTTTAATGATTTTGTAATATCTCCTTGCATATTTGAGATATTATATATTATATTTGAATATATATATATATTTGTATTTGTATATTCTTTATGCATGTGTGAAGCATCCTCCTCAGTTGCACAGAAATTGAAATATCCCCTAATGTAGGCTGTGATTCTCTCTTGTCTAATATGTATCTCATCCTCTTGACCAGCTTTCATTTAGTGGACAGCTTTGCCTTAGAAAGAAGTTGAATTACCCTTCAACTTAATGTGAAACCACAGCGCTGCTCTGATGACAAACAGTCAGCAGTTGCACACCACTATCTCTGCTGACACTGCTCAACTTGCTTTTTGATTTTCTACTGCTTCATGTTGAGTTATTAACAACAAGGGAGAACGCAGTGAGAGCAAACCTCATAGAAACAGTAAGATGGTTGAGAGAACAACACAAACATGTTCTTGAATGAGGCCCAATGATTCCAACCACAAATACATCTCTCACATTTTTGTATTGACATTTCTTATTGCTAACATATACTGTTTGGATTTCTATGGCTGTGGTTGGATAAGCCAAGTAAATAAATACAGAGGTTTTGTTACATGAACAGTGTCACCAACAGAATACTTTTCACCCGCAATGCAGTGCTGCAGTGCCTCTGTGTCCCTTGGTCTCAACTCAACAAATACTATCGATCTGTTTGAGGCCTGGCTTCACTAAATCTCTAGTTTTGTTTGCAATGTAGCTGCGTGTGTCTATGAATAAACCATGGGAGTGTGGTCTTTTCATTTCAGTCGTACCTGCATCTAAATCCTATAACAGAAAAAATGTGTTTGAACTGTAACAGACAGCTGACAGTCTACTAAAGTTACAAACAGTGTCAAACTATATACAAATATCTTTCTTCACTTTATTTAAATGATTTTTTGTAATCTAACTGATAGTGATTGATGCTGTTGATTCATTGGATGGACTATGTAAGCTTGCTAGCCTCATTGTTTCTAAAGGTGCTTATTTAGACATGAGACCGACCTGTTAAAGTGACATAAGATTTATTTAAATGGCTCAATACATGTAACCTATGTTTTTTCATATCATTATTGCGATATAATTGTTTATTCATCTTTAAAATTGTACATCGGATCCATCTCTCAGTTCATCACATGGCTTGGTTGAACACTTAATTGTGATTGGTCAATTTGGACATTCAGTGTCTGCTCTTTTTTGTTAGCAGACCGCTGCTAAGGACACCTTGATCAGTCATTGATTGTGCCGTCATATTAATTGGTAGAAGGAAGCTGTGGCAAAAAACACCCGTTCTCGCTGCATATTACTTCACTTTTTTACATATTTCATCTTATTTAAAACATTTTTTTAAATGTAATTGAGTATGCGCATGTAAACATACTGTATTGTCCCTTGCTTGTCATACTGTGTAAATATTCATCATTTTTGGGAGTGCTTCACTTAAGTCATTGTATCGGTGCATTAACATGCTAATATTTATTTACTTTATTGGATTTTTTCTGTTGATGGTTACCTGTCAGGTCGCTGCTCTCGATGCGTTTGAGGTCTGCGTCGACCCAAAACAGTTTTCCCATTTTGTTGTCCAGAGCAAGAGCCACTGGCCTGATGAGTCCGGTGGTGAACAGAGACTCTCTCTCCGTGCCGTCCAGAGAGGCTCCTTCGATCTTAGCCGAGCGGTCCTGCACTGTGGTGAAATACATGTACCTGCAGGGGGGTGCACACAAGTTAGTTCACAGTAATACATTTCAAATCCCCCATTAGATGCATTCATTTTGTTTTATCTTTGTAAACCAACACATATAAGCTCACCCTTTCTCAGCGTTGACCACGATGGCCCGGGGTTTGTCGGTGTCGTCCTTCAGGACCACGCCCACCGTGTGGCCGTCCATCCTCTGGACGTTGATGGTGTTGGTGGTCTCACAGGACCAGTAGATGTGGCGGCTGTAGGGGTCCAGGCTCAGGTCATGGAGCTGGTTGTCCGCTGGCTGAACACTGCTGCTCACGATCATGGAAGACTGGAGACACACAGCGAGGACACAAGTTCAACATCTGACTCGTTGTGAGTTTGGGCAGGCTCTGTCTTAAAGTGAAGATAATCTATTAAACTGCATCTACTTCATTTTTCTATGAAGCTGTTTAGGGTTATGTTTCTTTCAGACAAAACATGATTTGCTTGCCGTTTAGCTGAGTGCACATCACAACGTGCAGTACCCAAAGTGAGGAGGGAGGGGGGGCTGTGGGTCAGTGGGCATCTGACCCCCTCCCTGTGGCGCGCACTGGGCCCATAAGGGGCTGGAGGACTCTTTCCCCCTGCTTTAGGGCAGGAGGGGGAGCCCTCCACGTCATAGTCCATACACGCTCTTCACGAGGTAAGCGTGTCTGAGTGTGGGACATGGGGCACTTGCGCTCTCCCCGTGATCCTTACGGACTCGGGAGAGNTGTTTTTATATTTGCATTGTTTCCGCACATTTCTCCAAATGGAAGTGTTATATCTCTCACAGGCTCCACCCTCTACTGGGCTCTGGGTACTACTCCTTGATCATATCATGCAAGCATTCATCCACTGAGACTTCTATAAACGTAGCCGGCCCCGGGGCGGGCCTACCTGAATGCGCGAGCATCTCACCGTATAAAAGGAGGCCTCCTCCTGACTGTCATCCTTTTCTCTTCAGCGAGCAGGAGTGAACAACCTGAGCATAGACGAGAAAAAGAAAGAGAAAGAGCATGGAACCACTCCTCGAACACCGGACTTGTCCGACATGCCCTGGCCAAATCGCGGGGGCTGATCCGCACCGCCTGTGTTTCCAGTGCCTGGGGCCGGACCACGCCGAAGACGGCCTAAGCCAGTTGCCGGCCTGCAGCGCTTGCCGGATGATCCCTCGGCTAAGCCGCCGACATCGTTGCGATCATTTTTTTTTTCTTTCCTGGGTGAACCTCGAGGTGGTGGAGATGGGTGAACAGGATGACGAGGTGCCATTTGTGTTCACCCTCCCGAGAGGCCGGGTGGCTAGGTGCACGGAGGAGGAAGGACAATGAGGACGCCTCGTTGTCTGGTCCTTTCGGGTCCGGCGGCCAGGAGGGTCCAGCACACAGGTCTGTGCGTCTGGACTTTCCGGCGGTGATGACCCTGGCGGCGGAGCGTGTGGGCCTACCGCTTCCCCCCACCGCTGCCACCGAGGCCAGTAAGCCACCTTCGGCAGGGGTTTTACGGCCCGTTGCATCCGGCGAGCCACAGGCTTGGCTCCTGAGAGGGACAGGCTGAGACAGGGTGGATTGTGTGACAGTGTTATTCAGTCTATCCAGGCAGCTAGAGCGGGATCCACCACAGCCTGTTACAGGCCGAAGTGGCTAGGATTCCAGCGATGGTGTGAGGAGCGGAGAATAGAGCCCCTATCTTGTGAGTTAGGCTCTATTTTATCCTGCTTACAGTTACTGGTGGACAGAGGGCTTGCTCATTCCACAGTGAAAGTGTATGCAGCAGCCATCTCGTCTTGCCATGAGGGATTTGACGGCAGGTCAGCCTTTAATCAGCCACTGATGTCACGGTTTTTACAGGGGGTCAGGAGGCTTCGCCCTGTAGTGCACAGCTCCCCCAGCAGTGGGACCTGCCGTTGATGCTCGAGGCTCTGGTCACAGAACCATTTGAGCCTCTGGAGCTCTCTTCCCTGAAAGCACTGTCGTGGAAAACAGCATTGCTACTTGCCTTTATGTCAGGCAAGAGAGTGTCCGAGTTAACCTCTCTATCGGTGCACCCGAGTTGCTTGTTGATCCGGGGTGACAAGAGCGGGGCGACACTCAGGCCGAACCCCTCCTTTGTGCCCAAGAGCCTAAGGAGTACGTTCAGGTCGAGGGCTATTCAGTTAGGGGGCTTTAGTCTTCCACCCCATCGTGGGGCTAGGGAAGCTAGTCAGCGTGTTGGTCTTCTTTGTGGGCGACACTGAATGTGTATTTAAATGGGTTATTGCATTGTATGCATATGAGTTAATGTGTTGTGTGTCGGGAGGATGAGGGGCCGAGGATACCTGGTGCAGCAACTTTTGACTACTTTTGTGTGTGTGTCTGTGTGTATCTGCACACGTGGCCTGGGGGGCGCCCCGTCGGCGAAAGGGTGACAGGGAATTCGGTAGGGCACCGCGAATGAACCTGTCGCTCGAAAGGGCCAGTCGGGGGGGCGGGGTTTCGTGTGTTGTTCGTCGG